TCAGTCGTCTCGGCAACACCAAGGGTTAGCAGTTCCTGCAAGTAAGCCCAAGTACTCCAGGTGTGGGCAGGCCCAGAGACCCCCTCTGTTCTCAGTTACATGGAGGTACTCAAGGCATACCAGTCAGGTTGGAAAGGGGAACCTGGGGAATAATAGCTTCTTATAACATGTGCTGTGACTGTCAGTTTAGCTTGAATGTCCTAATTTAGAACTTACTAGCGCCCTACAGGAAAACAAGTATTTCTAACATTTTCCATCTCCTGTGCTTCACCTCACAATGTGTTTTCCAAACTTGCATTTCTGACATGGTAAGATGTAATGTTTACTGCATTTCTGCCTACAGGTACTTCTGTTCTAAATGATTGATGCTGTATTGGGAACACTGCAGAAACACAGAAGATGCATCACAGCATGTCTTGTCATTGACTAATGATCCAACACTCAAGGAACTGACCTCCTGCAAAATATGTTTCACATTGCATTTTACAAATGTTACATTTACAAATAATAACAAACTCAATTCATCAGGTCAGGATGCTCTCACAGTTGTGCACAGTGCCACTGATAGGAGGGAACAGAAGATCTGTATATAGTTTAATTGCATGGCATTTATTTCTTAAACTTGCAGAAGTTTGTTATCCTAGCAAGGACTGTTGGATTTTTTGGATTGAAAATAAAACTTCCAGAGATGCCAACAACAGTCCATGAAAAGCAGCCACTTTACTTTGCACGTTTCTGTCAAGAGAGTGTTTGTTTGATAGATGAAGGGGGGATTTAACAGTTATGGGACAAACCTAGGATATATTTGAACTACTGTTTGGGACAAGATGTCTACTGACTTTTCTAGGAGTTAGTCTGAATAAGAACTATGTCAATACCTTAGTATTTGTCCTGATGTTTTTAGTAGTCTTTCTTTTATCTCTGCACTGTATTTAGCCATGTTTTCATTGTATGGCAGATCCTGAAATGTGATGAGACTTTAAGTTTCTTCCTCTAAGCCGATGAATACATTTCACTCCTCCCTATGTGTAACATAGGATAGCATCCAAGTATGAAGTCATCTATTTCCTAGACCATCTGCATCACAAGCCTTAATTTAGCCTCTTGATGAGTGCGTGGGGCATGATCAGAGCTCCAGCTCAAAAAATTCAACAATTTCTTACTTTGGTGAAGTGTAAACATGTCCTCTCCCTTTCAGAGTAAAACAAGTCATCTTCCTGTTTATCACTTTTCACTTCTTTCTGGATTATAAAATATAGCTGAAAAGAACTGTTTGCTGACATCTCAATGCTCAGATTCCTAGCTAATATTTTCTAAACCTCACAGCCTGCTTCTTGGACTTTGGTCCATGTCAACTAAATTCTTTGGATTGCTCTTCTTGGGTGTCAATTGTTCTTAGCATTGCAAAAGAACATCCATTGAGAATGGGTTTATGTAGCACTAGGAAAAAAATGGTTCTTGCCAAATACCCTGTGTTAGGCAGAAAGTTGTAGTAAGGCTGGAGATAGAAATTAAATGTTACTTTCCTGATCTCACGTGAGGCTCAAAGCTCCTGGTCATTCACTAGCAAAATGTGGAAAAATACAGTCAGCTTTTCTCAGGAAAGGATTTGGGAAGTCAATTAGTATTTGAAATGAAAGCTATTCTGCGAACTGGGATTTTGGGGCAATTGCCCCAGTTTAGGTCATGGTGGGAAATATGGTGGGAAATGAGGCTCCATGCAGAAGGGCAGGTAGCATCTGATTCATGTCTGAGACAGGACAGTGCTCAGCCATAGCAAGGGCTATTCCCATTTTCCTTCTTGCTGACATCTCTCCCTGAGGCCAGGACCTGCCCAGCCACAGAAATTCTGCAAGAAACTTTGCTTTTTTTTGACATCTCCAATACAGGCTTATGCTGCTGGGAACAGCTGCACAAACCAGTGGATCACATCAAGAGGTGCCTCCACGTTTCCCATTAAGCAGAACACTCTCTAGCTGAGTTAGGTGAACATTCTTTAGGTGAGTTGTCAGTGCTTGTGTGTGAGTTGAAGCACTGCAGATGCTTTTGAGACTAAGATCTTCAAAGTCATAGAAAGAAAGAAGAGCCATGAGTCTATCTTGGTCTTTTGCTCCCTGCTTTCCCCTCATCCATTGCTCACTTTCTGCCTTTAGGCTTGTAGTTGAAGAATCTGAGAGCTGGATTGAGTGGGTGCATGTAGACTGGCTGACTCAAGACAAGTTTTTCTGTCCATGCTAAAGACAAATCTACAAATGCAGGCCTGGACAAGCCCCGACCCTGTCCACCACCTATGCTGAGCCTGCCCTGCAGTTTAGTGAACAGTTGTTGCACTGAGCTCATCCAATCTGCAGACAACCTTCTTGCAAGGCAGCCATATGTATGGGCATGGGCAGATTATGGGATTGATGACCTGACCACTCATACAGCTGTCTGACAGATGCAGCATGGACAGAGTCATTGCATGACATATTGGGAAACTCGGATCAGAGGAATCTGATGCTAATGCAGTGGCTTTGCAAAGACACTGCTGTATTGCAACAGTTGGCAGGTATTATCCTGGGCTTACAAATAAAGAGGGGTTTTAAAGCATATAAATTCTGTCCAGAAATGCTCTCCCTCAGAAGGGAGCTGGGAGCAGTTGTGCTCTTAGCTCCCACCTCACTGCGTGGATTACTTGGAAGAAAGCAACAGCCTTTCTGTTCCTCTGCCCCATCCACCCCAGAACACACTGAGACCTTCTGCAGCTCAAAAAGCACTCTTCAAAATCCACAAATGGGCAGGTGCTGTTTAAAATATGTTGATGTCTGAAGGGCTGAATGCCCCAATTTGCTTTCATAGGCAATATTGAATAGCTTCAGTCATTGTGCATAGCATGGGGGTCAACAAATGTGACATAAGGATATACTACAGCATCTGTTGCACGCTAGATTTGCCCTGTGCTGCCTGTTTACAAATTCATTCAGATGCCTGTAGGGATTTTCTGCTAATAAATCAACACGATATACTAGAATGTGTAAGGGAAATCCCTTTAGTTATTGCCTGTGTGTCATGGGCAACTTTAGTAAGAGTGACTGCCCAAGCATAAGTAAGGTGTGAGAAGCCACGATGTGGAGGTGACTCCTGAGGAAGAGTTTGTGTTCTGTGTGTTTAGCAGAAAGGACAAGGCAGTGACATGTTGGAGGTGAGCCTAGAATGAGCATCATTGCCCTTGTTTGAATGAGTGACTTAATTGCATTCAATACTTACTCATCACTGCAGCAGAAACAGTGAACACAGCAGCATGTAGTGCCTGTGAAGAAATAATGGGGTAGTTTGGGCACCATGAGCACTTAAATAACTGTACTGATAGGGTGTAGCACATTGTGTGGCCTAAAAATCACCGCTGAGCAGCATGGTGCAATGCACTCCAGGGAATTCCAGGGATGAGAGCAAGCTGTAAAATGCCAGTGACCCTGTGTTCATTTTCCTGCCTTGCTGGTGAGCTGTCACATTGGGTCAGGGAGGCATGGCTACAACTAGCAGGTGACAGATGGACCCTGCTGGTCCAGGCTTTCATTGCATTGGGATTCTCTACAAGCTGAAAGCATCTGAGCTGAACACCAGCTTGGGTCACTCTGTGCAGCTCTTGTTATACACCTCTCTTTCAGCTAGAGCACCAAACTCTTAAAGAAAGAGAGACCCTTCTCTTGGCAATAGGCTCTATTTCTTCCTGGATTTGATGCTATTGTAAGGGTATGTGAAAGTTTGCTTTCACATACCTTTTCACTTGCATAAAAGCAACAGAAAATGGGAAATATGTTCTGATTCACTATCAAGGAAATAACAGAGAATTAATATTAATAGCAAACTGTGTTTTGGTTGTCGTTAGACCTCACTGATATAATCAAGCTGGTTTTGTTTGGTGTATGCCAGCTTTGGCCTGTAATAGAATAAATAGACCTCCTGTTGCTGAAGTGCATGCAAGGGACTGTGTTAAGTGTGCACATCTTGCCAGATCCCAAGGCAATGAATGAAGCAGGATAATTACAGCTTTGGGAGAGGTAAAGTGTTGAATTATATGTAAGATGTATAAGCTCCAATTAAAGAGCGTGGCTCGACAGGCCTGGAGAGACTGTTCAATTCCTGTCAAAATCCATCTACACATTCACAGTGGCTACTAGATTCTGCTCCCTTTTACACCACTGGAAACCTCAAAGTTAACAAAATGGCCTTAAGATTTACTTTGCATTTACACTTTTGGGAAAATAGTCCCTTGTTTTTGCAAATAAATGTAGATAATAGGATTTAAGATGAATACATGTGAGAACCACTGATGGATTGTGATCCATCCTTTTGGACAGGGGCAGACGTAATTCTGCAGTAGAAAAAGCCAGGTAGCATCTGCACTGAGCAGCCAAATGAGCCAGAAATCTCTTCTCAGAACGTCTGTTTGGGGTGAGTAGGTAGAAATCAGTGGGTCTGGTTGAGAGTTATGAATAGAGCAGCCTGCACATATCCATGAGGAAGACCCAACTCTCATTCCCAGTTTTGGTCACTAGGAAGGGCCTCTCCTCAGGCACATTAAAACAGGCCTGTGTTGCTCTAGCTAGGGGTTTAATGGGACCCTATTTTCCACGGTAAACTTCACATGAACCATTAAGGTAACAAGAACCTACATCAAAGGAAATGTGCTGCCCCTTGGGCCTCTGCAAGAGGTGAGAAAGAAAACAGCACATGCTTCTGTGCAACAGAAAATTTTTATTGGAGTGATATCCAAAGGATCCAGACTTCTGTGCCAGTCCTACCCCAAACCTGCTGTGTACACTGACAGGACACGACGAGGAACAGCTCTGGCTCAGCAAGCCAAGGCAGGCAGCACCTCACTTTACACCCAGCCTGCCTTCCTGTCCCAGCAGCAGCTGTTGGGTCATCTCAGAGCTGCTCGCAGGAAGCCATGGGAAACCCAGACACCACCATGAGCAATGCCTGCAGGTGTGGACAGAGGCCCAAGCTCAGGGCAACTGAATTAGTGTTTGGTGTCTCATGGGACCTGGAGAGAAGGGGCAGAGTGTACAGTGTCAGCAGACTGAGTGGCACACGCAGGACAGCAGGGAAATTTTTGAGAGCCTCTTCCAAGTAGAACATCATGGCAGGTTAAACCTGGAAGGAAGGAACAGTAGGGTGTGGTAGTGGGCTATTGGCTTCTGACATGGTCCCCGTTGGACTTGGCTGTGGTTCAGTCATGGAGGACAGCATCCAAGTTAGCAGCACAATGAGAAAACAGAATAAACTCTTAACACATTAATACTCAGCAAGGCAATTTGGGGAAGGGCTCATCTTCATCCTTCAGTTCTGGCAAGCCTTCAGATGCAGTATTTCCAAAAGCAGGCTGGAAAAGGATACAAGAAAAGGATATTAGCATCCAAAATACTTTTTTCAACTTCCCACTCTGGCCCTGGAGTGGGTTTTAAAAGCCCCATGTCTTGAGAGAGTTGGGGTGTGAATCCAGCCTTGTGGTTTCTGGACACATCTCATTAACCAACTTTGACTTCATATAACACTTTTAGAAGGTGTTTCTTTTAGCTGCTTATACTGTAAAGAAGGGGTCTAAAAGGTTTTTTTTGTATGTTGCTTGATTTATAAGGATTTGCATTTCCTTTTGCTGCATTTCAGTAATATCAGGAATCAGTTTTTTCTTTCCTGTCTATTGATCAGTTTTGCTGCCTCAGAGATGGGCACAAGGTTTTTCACCCATGGACTGAAACAGCAGGATACTGGCTTGGAGAGAGTTGATCTGGTCCATACAGTTTTTAATGTTTTTGTTTGTTTGTTTGTTTGTTTTAATCCAGCCAGTCTATCACTCTGCAATGAACTATCTTCCAAACAACATTGATATCTGTGGGATCTTCCAAGAATAGATTAGGGAAGAATGCACATTTTCATGTCGGAAAAAAATACCTGTATCACCAGCATGCCCTGTTCTGTGAACCCCATGTGGGTTTTCTATTGTCAAGTATGAGAGGGATTTCTACCTGTTTTTTAAAGCAGGATCTTAGGAGAAGCTTCTACTGAATCAGTAGCACTCATGCTGAGACATGAGCTCCTCTGACACTGGAAGAACTGTAGATGAAGACAAAGATTCTCTGCTTTAATTTCTGGCAGAATCTGATTTAAACCTGGCAAGGGGAAGTAGTTTCATCTGCATTTGAACTTTCCAGACTGGTAAGGGCATGAGTTAGATTAGCCAAATTAATGACAGCCTTCGGGGTTGCTTATAAATTGCAGATTGTCACCTAGGCACTTAAGCAAGCCTTGCACAAAGGGATTTTCTCTTGGCTATCTGGCATGTTATCAGCTTGCACATGCACAGAGTGTGTGGGGCAAGAGCAGAATTAGCTCTTTTGTTTTTAGGCCAGATATGTCATCAGTGACTTCTGATTTACAGCTGTTGTTTCTTTGTGGAGGAATCCACTGAAAACCAGCACGGATGGCATTGTCCATGTGCTTGTCCGGGGCAGCCTTGCAGAAGCACTGGTGCAAAATGCTCCTCAGTCACTGGATACAGACTGGACAAAGCTTGTAGACTAATTGAGGGAGCCTTCCAGATCTTAGTTCCCTGCATTTTTGGTTGATTTCCACATCCTTTTTAGCTGCTTTTCAGCAGCACAAACAAGTGCTCCTTTTTTCTCTGTGGGGAGGCAGTGACCTTGGCAGAGGGGAATGCAAGCAGCCCACATGCCTCATTATGCCTTTAGCACTAGCTTTGTGCCCAGAGCAAAGGGATGAGTGCACTGTGGGGACTTGTTTATACAGAACACACCCCCTCCAGGACAGGCACTGTTGCTCATACAACCCCATGTTCCTCTGTGAAAAGAGGGATGGAACACTGACTGCCTCCCTCCTGGGTGTGCAGACCTGGTGTATCTACTTCAACAGCAGACAGATTTGGGTATGCAGCCCTTCTCACAAGCTGCTAAACCAGCCAGCCACCAACAAGAGAGGGCTAGGACTGCTAGAAAAGCTGACAACCTGCTTTACAGCATATTTGGGCCATGTTTACTGTCAATGTCTTTGTTACAGAAAGGAAGCCCTGGAGGTGGGAGCTGGACAGGATGGTTGCAGGCCTTGAACCCAAAACCTACCACGTTTTTTGGGCTGGGATGCTGAGAGACTTTCCAAGGCATAAGCCACCTCTGACCCTTCCTCAGTTGAGAGCTGATCCTTCAACTTCTCCAGCTGTTTAAAAACAAATGCAGCTGTAAACAAATGCATCATCATGAGGAGCTCTTCAGCATGCTGGCAAGTTCAGGGCAGCTCAGAGGCAGCAGGTACAAGCAGCCTGGCTGAGAGCATCACTGAGGAGGACAGGGTCTTCCCTAGAGCAGGACAGTTCCAGGAGGACCTGCCTTTGGAGTATTCACACCTGCGTGTTTGGTGGCAGTAATGTGGGCACTCTGCTCTTTCCCCCAGCCCCAGAATGTAGATCCCTGTGGAAAGCAAGCTGAGCAGGAGAATATTGTACCATTTAAAATCAAGTCAATGCTGGGGCACGAGGTCTCAGGGCATCCACCCGCTGCAGAAGGGAGATTTGATTTTCCGTTGCTCTGGGCTGTTCCTCCCCTCCCTTCCCCCAGCTCTTGCTAACTTCCCTTGGTTATAGTGTGGAAAGTCTACGGTGTTTGTTCCCCATCTGTGGCTACAGATCTGGGGTTTGGGGCACAGTGAGAGCCATGTCAAGGCTGTTGCACACCTTTCCCTGTTCCTAGAAACTCAGTATAGGATGGGGCTTCCTCTTGCTCTCTGTGTGTATGTGTGTGCACTCTGCATAGCACAGCAGGGCTCTGGCCCTGGATAGGACCTCCCCTACTAGTGAGAACCCAAACAAAAATCAGTTTGGATTAGGTGTGCAGGGCTGTCCCTCTAACTTCAGCCCATTATGGGATGCAGCCAGCTGATGTAATGCCCAGGAAAGGAGCATGACCTCTCTACCTCCCTTCCTTTTCTTCCATGGAGACTTCCTTTGGCATCTATTTTTTCCTGGCTTGGCCTTCACTGGCCTTTCACTGGTGGCAGAGACAAGAGCTGCCTCAGCCTTTATTGCACTAGTCTATAGCCTTGCTCTCTTTTTCTCTTTTCAAGCTTGTGAAGCAATTTAATCCAGGTTTTTCTTTTCCCTTTGTGTGATAGATGCTTATGTTATAGTAGCAGAATGAGGAGTACCAGGATGCAAAGTTAGAAGAATAAGGTGTACAGACAATATGCACAATTGTTTAGCTATTCATGCAACATATGTGGTTTCTGTGCATTTGCTCCTCTTACCTGTTCAAGCTCTTCAAATTTCTTTGCCAGCTCCCAGTCTGCAAGAAGGGAGAGAGTAACATCAGTATCTGCATTGCTTCCCAAAGCTCAAATCTAAAACTGTTTCTTCATTTAACTTCTTCAAGGGCTTGATATGAAAAGACCTAGTTATAATTTAACTCCTGTTAGTGAACCTCAAATCTCTGGTAGCAGAACCAGTGACAGAAAAGCAGGCTTTCTCTGCTGCATGCTGGGGGATTTTGCCCTCATTCTCCATTATGAGGGAAGCTTTATCATTCACTAGGCTCTAAAGTGATTGGCCAAACAAGGTCACATACTCTGTGATACTAGCTCAGGTGAACCTGGTAACAGCAAATCTCCAAGGCTGGCTTTTCTTTCTCTCTCCTTTTAAATGAATTCCCATTGCTTCCTTAAGACTTGTTTATCCTCACATCACTTATGCAGGCAGAAGAAGTTAGAAGACACAGATTTAACCTAACATAACTTATTGCTTGTAAGTCAGCAAACATCAAGGTTGGCACAGTGGAGCAACAGGAACTGTGAAATATCAGGGAGTGCACAGGCTTTGCACTTCTAGATGTTAGGGGAGCACAGAGACCTGGGGACCATCTTCATAGATCAGACTTGGAGACCTCAAGGCTGAGCAGTACTGTACTAGACTGTTAAAAAACTATGCAGTGGGATGAATGAGTTGCCCTGAGATATCTCATCCAGGATAAGGGGAAAGTAAGATGCCTGTGAATGGGATCTAAAGCCTCCAGCTGGATTGAGAAGGGTCTGGACTAGCAGTAGGTTAACCTGCAGGAAGGGATGTGGGATTTCAATCTCACTCCTCTTGAGAGCTTAGGTACCTTATTCCAGACTCAGACTAATGTCAAAAACAGGGTTTGTTTTTAATAAGATAGGTGAAACAATGGCAAGCACCCTGACAAAATGAGCTCAGTCAAAGAAAGCTGAATGACTGGACTACAGCAGTCCTCCTTGGAGGGGAATGCAAAGTGATCAGCTGTTTTTAAGTGCCAGTTTGGGAAAAAAATGCATTAAAATAAGCAGAAGAGCCAGACAAGAGCTAAAGAATGTCTCTGCTGGGCCCCACAAGGAAGCCAAAAGCCTGCCCTGGAGCTGCCTCCTTTGTCTGCTCCTAGTGTAGCAGCAGGCATTGGTCTTCATCTCCAAGGGGATTTAGGGCATAATTCCTCCTGATTTCAGATAAGACTCCAGAAAGCAAATATATTGCCACACTTGGGCTTTTTTTTATTATTATTTGAAACTGAGCAGGAGAGTGCTAAGGCAAAGCTGACTGCCTTCTCAGTCTCTTTTGAGAAGGAAACAATTCCATTAAAATTCCTGAATAATTTCTGACAGATATGAATCCAATAGTAAAAGCAGCCATTCCTAAGCAAATCCATTGCATGAGGGCTTAGGACAGGGATGGGCTGAGAGTCAGGAGGTAGGAGCTCTGTTCCTGGCACTGCCAGCAATGACCTCAGTCAGATTCCTCTTAACTGTGTTTTTAAATATCCGTAAGGTAGAGGTAGCTAGGCCTGCATATCTACAGCTGAAAAGTGCCACTTAAGAGACTTATTATTATTACTCACATTTTAATGTCTTTTAGAGTTTCAAATGCCTATTTTGGCTTGACTTTCCACAAACTGTAAGCTTGGCCAGTGACTGCTATGAATAGAAAATGAACAGCAGTCAAAATTTGGAGCAGATTCTTTCAGGCAGGGGGAAGTTAATTTATGGATGAACCCTTGAGTAACTGCCTGCTGTAAATCCTCTGTCTGTGCTCTGCTCAGAGATTCATTATATTCAATTGTCTGGCACGAAATACAGCCTTTCCTCTAGGAGTAATAAGTGCTATAATCCATAAACCAATCATAAAAATATAATGTCTTGAATGCATCCCCTTTGCAAGAAGAATGCCTTTGTTAGTACAAGGACTTGATTTATTTGTGTTTATTTATTTGTCCCAGGATTGTTTAACCAGTGCCTCACTGCATTAACAAGGGGCTGGGGAAGAGCACTGAGAGATTTTGATGAATGGATCTTCATAACAAAATTTCTGCTGGGCCCCGTTCTGGGCTGTTTTCACGGGAAGAGCAGCTTCCTGCTCTGAGACCACCATGTACAGCCCAAACCCTTTGCTGGCTGCTGTGGCCGTGGGAATAGCTGACCCCTGTAATCCACATGGCACTTGTGATCACTGTGCATCATAGTGTCATGGAAAGCATAAGTTTCTCTTCAGCGGGTCTGAGCTTAGAGGATGTTTGCAACATGTGGATGGCTTTAAATTTGCTGTCTGCTCACAGAGCACAGAGAGGAAAAGCCTCCACCCAGTCTCTCTGCTGGGTGGGAAAAGCCCATTGTCTCACCCTCTTCCAGCAGTAGCAGTGACTCAGGCTCAGACAGGAGCTCCTACTAGTGTTCTCCCAACTTATACCTGATCCCAAGTGATCTAAGTTGTATGTTCTCTGCAAAATTTTGACGCTGCCCCACTGCCCCTGTGCTCACACTGCTGCTTTTAGCATGCCAGCAAGACATGGAGCTGGAGCTCAACAGCACGTGGGGCTGTGCAGGGTGTGGGTGGAGAGGTGACCCCCAAGTACCCAAAGTCACTGGGACTCAGCAGCATCTCTTCCTGTCATTAGTTACAGATACACACATGCTCCTTTGGCAGCTGAGTGCCTGAGGAACTAGAGTCTATGTTTTGGGGCAGCTTAACATAAAAGCAGATCCAGAAGCCCCGGAATGGAGAACATGATACTAATCACATGAAGGCACCATACTGGCTGCTTCCACTTTCCCAGCAGTTGGTTTTTCTGTGGAACCTGAGGAGCAGGTTCCTTGCATTCATGTAAATATAGATGTGAGAAGCTGAGATCTCCCACCCCCTTGGCTTACCAATATTCTCTGGTCTCCGCCATGCGAGCTTCTTATTAAGGAGCAGAGTCAGAAGTGTGTCCTCATGATTTGTGTCGCCCCTCTCCGGAAGGACTCGGTTCTCTGCAGCACATAAAAAACACCTTTCTCCATCTCTAATGAGAAAAAGAATGAAGCCTCCAGCCCCCAACATTAAAACACGAATTAAAAAGGCTAAGAAGTGGAAGGAAAATGTGTCCTGTCAGCACTTTGGAAGTGGAAGCACTTTTTTTGTGGAAGGAGTCTGGGGGAAGAGGGAAGTAGTGTGAGCACAGAAGATGAAGTCCAGACAGTGAGGACAGTGCAGAGAATGGGTGCAGGATGGGAGAGCCCTCCCTGCCAGCTCTGGGCTGCTAGCCAGTCTCACTGCAGCCTCATCAGCATGGCTGGCTGCAGAGCCAGAGATATCACCTTGGTTCAGATAGTCCCAACCTCTGCTGCAAGGCAGATGTACCGGATACCTCTGCAAAGCCAGACAGAAACCCACGAGATCCTCTCATCTCAAAACTGCAGGTGCTCCCTCCTTCTCCCCATCTTCCCAGGGCTAACAGAGGTGGGAACTTGCTCCCTATAAGGGCTGACATGTGGGTACCAGAGCTGAAAAGCCCTGCAGACCTGCAGTCTACTCTTGTTCTCAGGCAGTCTTGAGGCTGTTCTGTCTGATTTGCCAGTGGTATTAAGGAATTCTTCCTGAATGGAGCCAAAGTGTGGAGGAGTTTAAAGTGACCCTCTTTATCCCTGAGAAAGCCTCTTACAGTAGCTGTAGGACATGCTGAATTTTTTTGTTTTCCAGTAAAAACGTTCCCAAGCTGCTGTCCTCAAGAATTTAGGCTTCTCTATGAGGTGCCTTTTAGGGAACTTTCTCAGTGGTTTTGCTTTTGTGGTTGTGGCTGTGCCCTCAAATGAATGGTTATGAAGGTCAAGGGGTCAGCAGAAACAAATGGACAGAGGACATGGGACTAATCAGAGCTCTGAAGGCTCTGAGACCCTCCCAGTTCTGTTGAACAGATTTCCAGGATCATCTGAAACCTGAATGTTGCATTTATTTTTGAGAATGACAGAACGGGAGCCAGATTTTACAGGGACAGTGACCATTCCCCAGTCTTTGGTCTGAACACCCCTGCCCTACACCCAGATCCTACAAAGCCCTAGGGTGCCTACAATATCCATGGAAAATACTAACAAATTTCAGCAGAAACAAATGGACAGAGGACATGGGACTAATCAGAGCTCTGAAGGCTCTGAGACCCTCCCAGTTCTGTTGAACAGATTTCCAGGATCATCTGAAACCTGAATGTTGCATTTATTTTTGAGAATGACAGAACGGGAGCCAGATTTTACAGGGACAGTGACCATTCCCCAGTCTTTGGTCTGAACACCCCTGCCCTACACCCAGATCCTACAAAGCCCTAGGGTGCCTACAATATCCATGGAAAATACTAACAAATTACACAGAAAAGCTGATTTTCTATTCTTCCAGGATCTCTAGGACCTCTGCTCACTCTCTTCAAGGAGGTGAGAAAGAAGAGAATGGTCTCATAGAACCGGCAGCCCTACATAGCTGTGGTGGGAGGAATGCAATTATTTTTGATACATGAGACAAAACATGGTACAAGATGAGCCTTAAGGATGCTCAAGAGTATGTGGGAATCGGCTCCATTAGCCAAAACCACATAAATCTGCAGAAGCAGAGGGGCTCTGGCCAAAGTGATGCTCCAAGTATTTGGCCAGACTCAACCCTGCCCCATGCTGTGGCTGAAGCTGCTGGTCCTGATTGTGATCTCTGGAAATAAACCCCAGGGAGTCAGCAGAGCTACATGCTGTGTAAAACTTGCAGTTAGCCTGGAGTGCTATGAACCTCATTCCTAAGTCTGAAAGAGTTATGATTTTAAAATAACTTCTTTCAGTCATTTGGGGGATTTGCTACAGGAAAAAAAAAAAAAAAAAAAAAAGGCAAAATCCTATAAACACTCTAGTAAAAACTAAACAGAAGCTGTATTTAGATAGAGCGGCCTCAGGAATGTTTTGGTTGTCATTACAAAAATAAATAGGTGATATAAGAGGAAAAATAATTTGAAAAGCAATGTTATTTTCAAGTCTATATTTAGCTGCTCTTTTTTTTTACTGCCAAGTCTCTTTGAGGAAGAAGATTAATGATTGACATTTCCCTGCAGAGTAAGTTCAAGCTAAGATTAAATTATGGGAGAAGAACATATAAAAAGAAGTTTTGTGAATAAAAAAAGTTCAACAGCACCCTACTATTGACATTTATGAGCTGTCAAATCTCATATGGTGCAGACTGGAATTGTTACTCTCTGATATTTTAATGTTTTTCCCTGGAATTTTCTTTTGGACAGAAAGTGCTACCCTTGCCACATTTCACCAGATCTGATATTTTTACTGATTAGCAGAGTGTGTCATATGACCAGCTGCAGACCAGAAGGAAGGACAGCTTTAGCTCATGCTAATATGAGCAAGTCTCTTTGTAGCACCCGTGTTAATTGATTGTTTAGTGTAGCTTAAGGTTCATTTCATTTTCTTGCATAGATAAGCAAGTGTTGCATGGCCATGACAAGTAGCAGACCAAAGCAAAAAGATAACCACCTACCTGTGTCATCTAGTCTGTATTCCAGCTTACCTTGTAGTAAAAAAGGCTCTCCATGTGTAGACGGGACATACACAGTCATGGTCAAGATGGTTAGCACTCCAAGGGACAGCTGGACAGACCACATCTTCTCCACGTTCCCACCACCCAAAAGCATTCTTTCTTCAGGCACGGTGGAGGACTTCAATGCAACCCCGTGCCAGATGAGCTCACTTTTAAGAGGCAGTGGATGTGCTGTGATTGCAAATGGCCTTTGGAGGAGGGGAGAAAAATATCTCTTGAGATATAATTCAACCTGTCAATATGATTCACTCCTTTGGGAGTGGACAGAACAACCCAGTAACAGAAGTCAGATGGAACCTGTTCAATATATCTCGTATCAGACTGATCTAATGAATTCTGACGTTCCCACAGGCAAACACCATCCATGTATGTTGATATCCATTTCATACATACAGATATGAAAAATATTTTTTCAGGGCTGCTGCTTTAATGGAGCTCAGACGTGAGGACTCCCACATTAGAAAGGAAGATTTGTCTAACCTACAAGTTGCCGTATGTCACCAGTTTGGACAGAATCAGGTTAATGGGTTTTTGTAATTTATCATTTCACTCCCTAGTGCCTATATTAATTAATGTGAGATATAATGAGTGCTGAAGTGGTGGGAAGCAGAGAGGGAGAGCTCTTTTCATTTAACTGACTGGCGGATGTTGAGTGTGTCTTGCTCGCCATGACTTATGGCTTTGTCAACGAGAAAGGCATCACACCCTATTTTGGGATTGTGTCTGAGTGGAGGAGTGCAGATTTGGCAGTAGATATGGAATACATCAAGGATAGGCAACTGTCTTCAGGTTTTTTTTCTGGGGGGAGAAAAAATAAATGGAAGGTCAGATGCTGGTTCTGGTTGCACAGGCATATTTTATTAGTTTAGAGCAAAATATTGAGTCATATTGCACATATTACGTCTCCACAGGTCTTCTATATCTTGGATTTTATTTGTGTCTTGTCTATCACTATTGATCAGGGACCAGCTACTGGTTTTCTAATACAATTCTACCAAGAATAATGTTGTAATAGTAAAAGTGTTAAACTTTGTTCTTCACTTCTGCTTCTTCTGCAGAACTGAATCATCTGTACTACACATTGGCCAAGCTCTGACTTGTACATACACTCCTAGTGACTCACCTCATGTACTGTTTTGACACCACATCATGCCAGATTACCCAACATAGCTCTGTCTGGTGGTACCTACACTTAATCTAAACTGAAAACCAATATAATTTCCATGTTTGGGCTTTTGGTGTCTGGTCCCCAGCTCTTCCCACAACTTGCTGTGCATCTTGGACAGCCTTGGGATGACTGGACTTTTACTATCCCCTTTAATATTTACTTTTTACTAAAAACAGAGGAGGAAGACTCAGATTTTTTGCAAGAAGTGCCTATGAAAATGAATCTAATGCTTCCATTTAGGAATACTTTTCACTAAGGAAATACTCAATTTTTTTCCCCTGCAGATACACTATGTGCAAATAAACAAAACTTGCCTTTTCTCTGTTTTGTGAACCACTGATCAACTAGCTGAAGTACTCCCCTTCTTCACAAAATCCTGTTTAGGCTGAAAGATACTTTTGTCCTGTCCGGAACACTTTTCCAGCCACCTCTGTCTCCCTAAGCTGCCAGTTTCAAACTGGTCAGTAGTGAGCAGCCCCCCAGGAAGCAGAGGCCATAACTTGATGATCACCTCCTTGCACAGGAGTCCAGTATGGACAATAGTAGGTCTGACTTAAAACCATATTCTTAAGGGAAGGTCAGGTCCATGTTTACTTGGTATGACATGGTTTTCCAGTCCCAAGTCTGTCTCGAGTTCTGCTGTGAAATTGGCTTTGCCTCTGTATATAAAGTGGTTTTCCCCAGCTCTTCTAAGTTTGTGTGGAATCCACAGACTTCTGCCTGTTTTTCCCTGCCCTTGGCTGTGAGGTATCCCAGGCAATTGGCAGGCTCTTGCAGGAAGATGAGGTCTTCCCTAGGATTTCCTTTTTCACTGCTGAGAAACTTCAGTTCTGGGTGATGGTGACTGTTTAGCCCTGAAAGCAACTTGCATCTAGATTGTGCAAGTCCTTCCAAGTGAGGGCCCTGAGTTTACTGGATGCTGTGGGTGGGCAGATGCTCTCAGCAGGTGGGTGGGTGGATCGAAGCGACAGCCACTGCCAGGCACTAGTGAACTTTTTGCATTTGTTGCAGTTATGAGAGGATTGATTTGCAGGGTTGGGCTTCTGTGAGACTCCCATCTGGAAAATTCCTTTGCTTTCAGTCCATTTGTCCAGGTGCTGGGAATTCTATTACATTTTATTGTTCTTACATTTTTTTTTTTTTTTTCTCAATAGAATAACAACACAGTCTCCATATTGTCCCTGAGTGACTCAGTGATATCTCCCTGATAACACCCAGTGATAATGTTTTCTACATCATCCCCTAAGCACTTGTGTCTAGAACTCAAAGATATGAAGATGGGAGCTTAATCTCTACTTCCTATGGTCCTAATCTTTTTAAGCCTCTTCATGTCTAAGTTTATTTTTTCGTAAAACTATGCAGACTTCAGGTAATTAAACATGATCATACATGAGAATTGAAAAGGATGGACAACCTGTCCAAAAGGCAAGAATGGACAAGACTTGGCTTCAGCATATGCTACTAAACTCATCTGCACCAGCTGATTGGAGATGGAGATTAGTGCATGGTCCTGAGCAGCCTCAGCTGGTGCCTTCACCCACCCTCTCTGTCCATAAGCTGAGGAGAACCCATTTAAGCTCAGCCCTGGAGCCTCCCTGCTTCTGCCTGAACTGCTGGTCTGCAGCTCAGTTGTGCCTTTGTCTGGTTATGGCTCCTGCTAATCTGGATTCAAACCTGCAGTTTGACTTCCTGGCTTGACTTTAGACATGTTCTATTAGTGTAGACCTGTCTAGTGTTCATGGGGCTGTGTTTCACCCTGGTTACTATCATCAGGATTAGTTCTGGCTAGTGGGTTGACTTCCAGGTGGACCCTGGATCTGCCTCACTGCTGTGGGCTTCCCTGATTGTTGAGACTCTTGACTGAACCTGGCTGCTCTTCCCCTTGAGATGGGACCCTATCCTGCTGGCAGCATTGCACTTGGCACCCCATTCCCTAAGGAATGGCTGATCCTTGTTTGGGTATCATCTTCCTCAATGTTCAACTTCTTCCTCTGCACTGACTTCCTCTTCTCTGCCAAGCAGATCTTGGAAACTTCAGGTATGCTATATAAAATTCCAATTTCTCTTGAAGTCACTTTGGGCTTTGCTGTTAGCTCTAATGAAGCTAAGCCTGCCTCTAGAAGAGATGCTGTCCCCAAATAACCTAGCCTTAATTTAACCCCAAAGCAGCAACCATTACTGTTTCAGAATAAACCTCGGACAAGGGACATTGTGGGTTTGGGGTGACTTGTCAGACACAGGAGGCACTGTTGAGCTGCTGAAAGCAGGAAAACATGAAAGGGCTACTTCCCAGAGCCAGCTTCAAGTGGCAGATTTCCAGACCACTTTGTGTGGTGTACATTTGGGGTTTGGAGAACGGGAGGATGTGTTTTATTTTTCAGAGCTTCCTGAGAACACATGAAAATGTTACATGCATCGTGTATTTCAGGTGAGCCTCAAAAGCATCCCCAGGCTTTGCTGTGGTCTTATGGTCCCCACTTAACTGTATTTTGCTTGGTCTCAAAACAACCAAGCTGCTGTGGGAGGACCTGTCACAGAAATGCCTTTACTTAAGCTTGGGAGAAAGGGCTTATTAACTGTTCTGGAACTTCTGCACCAAGGATGAGATTTGGCTGTGACCAGGTAGTCTCAGCTGGCAATGACAGGATTTATACCGTGTGGTACAGATGGGGAGAATCATGCCTCACTGTCTTCTAGCCTGGAGTGTTTCCAACAAGAAGATGAGGGTGGTGAATGACAAACAAATTTGGAAATGAGGAGGGCTCGTGCCTTGTAGGGGGAAAACCAGGATGGGAGTTTGACAGTCCCAACAAAGAGAGGTAGGAGTTGGTGAGCTTTTAGCAGGCAAGAAACAGGAGGTGCCCTCACAACAGGGAGGAAGTGAGCTTCATATGCAATGTCAGAAAGGCAGGAGTCATCTCCTCCCCATCCTGGGCAATGACTTACAGTGTACCTTGCTGTTCCACCAGGTGTCTCTGTCATCTCTGTCTATTCCAACAGTCCAATAAACTGTTTCAATCTTCAGTAGCCAAGTCCCTTCACTTCCCTAGTGTCTGCCTTTCTTGCCTGTATCACCATTGTAGCTTTGCAACCATTTATCTCTTCTATATACATTCCTCTTGCATCTCTGTGCCCCTCTGCTTCTCCAGCTGTGCTTCACCTGATGTGTATCAGAGTAGAAGGCACCAAAAACCACCCTGTCCTCTTCAGCCTTCATCCCTTACACATTTAATATCTAATTTCCTTGCTGTCTGTGTTGCTCCTATCTGAGGCAACTAGAGAGACTAAAACTCACTCCAGTCCCATTATTTACAGCACCACTGGAAGGCGCTCAGATACTCTGATGTGTGGTGCAAAGTTCCTGACAGAGCAGCTTGGCTGCAGAAAGGAATTAAAATAATGTGCACACAAGCCAGGAGAGCAGCTCACTGAGAGGAGGGAGTGCATAATGGGGAGGGAGATGTAGTTATAAAATGAGAGTCTCTATTCCTTAGGGGACTATTAAAACGAGTCAATATTTATGAAGCTTTTAGTCTGACTCATGCAATTTGTTCCCCGTTCTATGTGCATGTCTTTGGGACTCAGCTGTTGCTTGGTCTGTTACTGCCTTAAAATGAGATGCTATAGTTAACTGTGTCCTTGTACAGGGACAGAAAATGGAAAGGTGTAAGGCAGAGTGTAAAGCAGCTCCAATTGTCACCTCACTGCAAGCAAGTAAGAGAACACACCAAGGGAAGTATCCCCAGCTGCTGTTAGATGGCCATTGTGCTAAAGAGAAGCAGCTCCTTGTGGTTAAGTCAGTGGAGGGTAAGAAGTGCAGCTGGGCTTCCTGCCTGGCTTTTGCACCCATTCTGGGGGCTGTCAGGAAACCATTCAACTTCCCAGTGAACAAGTGAGCTCCAAAGTATTCTCCAGGAGTGAGAGGCTGAAAGAATAATGCAGAAATGTGAAAGGATGGGATGTGGGATGAGATTTTCTGGAGAACCTATTCCCTCTCC